AGGTACCTCTGTGTGGAGTAGTGGCTAAGGTAAGAAGGTAAGATCAGGGAAGGTAAGATCAGGGAAGGTAAGATCAGGGAAGGTAAGATCAGGGAAGCTGCCCCTCCAGTTCCCAGGGAGTGACCTGTCCTCTGTCTCCAGCGGCGAAGCCCATTCCACTTTCCCTTTTTCTTCCATGTTGAGAATCAAGCGCAGGTCTCAGAAATTCTCCAGCTTCAGGGGTCGTCATCCACCCTGCCTTCAGCCCAGGTAAATCAATGATGGACAACCTTCTTGAAAAGCCAGAAAGAACCCTTACAACATTGCTACTGAGGTGCAAGCCCCAGCTACCTCTACCTGATGTTTTGGTGATCCTGGAGGTCAGGTGGTGGATACTACCACATAACGAATAACTGCAATAGAAGAGTGGAGCATCTCCCAGTGCAGCTACTGACCACTAAGAACCCAAGCAGGACTTGGGTCAGTCAGAAGCAATCACTGCTAGAGTTTATTTATTATTTATTAGATTTTAAACCGCCCTCCCTTACCAAGGCAAGGCTCATGGCAGATGGGGGCAGAAGAAGTAATGTGGCTTATAGTTCTCCTGGTACAGTTGCCAGACTTCAGGCGGGGGTGGGGGTGGAGCTCTCCTGGAATTACAACTGATCTGCAGACTAAGCTCAATCAATCACTTTCCCAGGCTCCGCCCTCAAATCTCCAGGTCTTTCCGAACCCAAAGTTGGCAATCTTAAGTTCTCTGTTGATGTGCTGTGGAGAGAGCCAGTGGACGGGTCCCACTTTCTCATCTCTTCAGTTTGAACGGCAGCGGCTCTGACCCCTCCATTGGTTTCAGTTTCAGTCACAGACTTCCAACTACTCCCTATAGTAGTTGTGGGGTGGGGAAGGGGGAGTAAATGAGGTAGAAAGGAGTGGGGAATGCTAGTCCTTAAAGCAGCATCCGGCCCAAAAAGAAGAAGATGGAGGAGGAGGAGATTGGATTTATACCCCGTCCTTCACTATCCGAAGGAGTCTCAGAGCAGTTTACAATCTTCTTTCCCTCCCCACAACAGACACCCTGTAAGGTAGATGGGGCTGAGAGAGCTCTTTTGATGACTGATTGTATGAGAACAGCTCTGAAAGAACTTGTGACTGACCCAAGGTCACACCAGCAGCTGCATGCGGACCAGTAGGTAATCAAACCCGGTTCTCCCAGATTACAGTCCATGCTCTTAACCACTACACTAAACTGGCAAGAGCACACCCCTGTGCATGGGCAAACACGCACAGGCTGATGTTGACCTGGGATGTGGGAAATTCAGGTTCAAATCTCTGAGTGGCCCTGGGTAAGTCATCCCCATCCATTCAGTAGGTTGGAAGGGAATAAAGGGGTCATGGAGGCTGTAGAGCCATCGCAGAAGAAACCTTTGAGGAGGTGTAGGGGATGGTAGGGAATGGCGGCGTCAGGGAACCTCATCTGAGCTTGAGGTATCCAAGAAGCTGCAGAATCTATTCCCTTTCTAATACGGGGATTGGATAACCAGGTGGAGCAGAGATCCATGAGTGGCTATTAGCCACAAGGCATAGATGGAATGTATCTGGGGCAGTGATGCTCTGTATTCTTGGTGCTTGGGAGGGTTGCAGTGGGAGGGCTTCCGGAGGTCTGGCCCTGATGGTGGACCTCCTGATGGCACCTGGGTTTTGGCCACTACATGACACAGAGTGTTGGACTGGATGGGCCATTCACGTGATCCAACATGGCTACTCTTACGTTCTTAAAGCCACTTTGGAAACTTTCAGTCACAAACAGGGGATAGAAATGTTTATAAGGAATTCAAATAGAACCTGGAATTGTTATCTAGGTGTGTTATCACTTTACATGAATGTCCTGTCCAGCGCGAGCTGTGGCTAAGCCAGCGCTTTCTAGGTGTGAGCCAACACACGACCACTGAAGAAAGCTTAAATCATCTTTATTCAACTTCACACACATTCAGAAGATCATTTACTCACAATCATTCAGATAGCTGGGTGGAAAGTTACATCTTGTGATCTAGGTTAGTTCAATAGCCGCGGTGAGAAAGAGATGGGCTTCCCCTCTCCTTGCAGTAAGGGTTGATGAACAAAGAAAACGGAAAAGAACAACAAAATCCTATCTTTGTGCCTCTGAGCTCAGGAAATTACTCTTAATGAGCCAGTCAGAGGGAAGCGTCTGGGACCCCTAACTGTGGACTCCAATTCCCAGGTGCACAAGTCTTAAAGATACAGAGCAGTTTTACTAAACTACAGATAACGCTGACTGGGGGCAGCATAATGAATACTGAACTTCATTCAAGCTCTATGTAATTCATTGTGCTTTTCTCCCTCCCTGTTTGGAGTCATCTGCAAACCACCCCCTGACTCAGCCCTATGTGCAGACTCCAGATCATCCCTGAAGGAATTCAATAGCACAAGGCTGAAGTTAGTTCCCTGTTCCTTATTTGTGTGCACTTTGGAGCAATTAGCACAAAACACTAGACTTTGGTAACTCAAACAGCATAGGTCGCCTTGTGGGGCAGAATGCCCTGAATCTGGGGGTGTACGATCTGCGGTGGTCCTGCCCAAGACTTATTTTAGGGCACAGAGATGTCTAAGTATCGTCAGTAGCTGTGTTTGGATTCATGGACAAAGAACTACGAACTGAGAATAAGGAACTGGAACCAACTTCAGCCTTGCTTCAATCGTGCTGGTTTTAATTTGGTCCCTCAGGGATCCCAACTCCCTCTGATGGGAAGATTGTGCATCTATTCCTCCCCTCTGTTTCCTACTCTTTAGTCGCTTTAACTTATAAGTGACCTTGCCAGTTGCCCATCCCCAGGAAATCCACCCTGCTGCCCCAGCCATCCGTGCTCTCCCCAGTCCTTCCCTTGAGCACCCATCCAGGGAAGATATGCATCCTTCGAAGGCCGCATCTGGCATGGGGATCTACCTCCCCAAGTCAGGTCACGGGCGGGCCCAGGCCCGTAGCCAGGATTTTAAAAAGTTTCTTAAATTTCTTAGGGGGCACTGGCTAATTGAATTAAATGAATACCTGGATCCTTCCCTGCACCTGCTGCTGCTTGGGGGACCTGGGCTGGATGGGAAGTAATGGGGCCTTGCCAGTAAGTCAGGGGGCCTAGCCCTGAGATGCCCCACTGTAGCTACCGGCCTCGGCGGGCCGCTCCCCGACGCTCCATTCCTTGCCTAGCCATCCTGCAACCTATCGACCTTTCAGCTTCCTACAGCCCCATGATTCCCCAGTTTGGTGTAGTGGTGCCAATAATCACTTTGAGGTCAGGAAGGAATTTTCCTCCACCTAGATTGGTCCGTGGATCATGGAGGTTTTTGGCTTCCTCTGGGCACAGAGCAGGGGTCACGGGGGAGTGTGTTGCTGGAGAGAAGATGATTGTGAATTTCTTGCATTGTGCAGGGGGTTGGACGAGATGACCCTTGGATCCCATTCCAGCTTCTTGTTCCTATCTCAGTCATTCTACTCATCCACCACGGACCGCATAATCTCCCCTTAAAAGATAGGAATGGGCTGGGGAAAGGGATGGCTAAACTGCTATTTACAAAAACTAATAATAGGGCTGCCATCTGGATCACGAAACCTCCAGGCTCCTTCCTGTTAGGAAAGACACATTAACACACATTCCACTGCGTTCTGCAGCCATAGAAATGATTTCACGGCCGTTCCCGGGGTGCTCCATTCCGCCTTTTGCACCGTTTCCATTGCAACTCTTCCTTTAAAGCAGAGACGGGGCGTGCCTTTTGCCGAGTTCATGGGAAAAGAAACTCAGCTGGGAGAAAAGTCCTTCTTTCTCTACCTGCTCTATCCCATGCATCATCTTATAAACCTCGATCATGTCAGCCTTCGTTTCTCCAAGCGAAAGAGCCCCAAGCGCCATAGGCGTAATCTTCGTGGGGGCGGCGGGGCTTCAGCCCCCGCCGAAATTTTCAGGAAGGTGTTCAGCCTCCCCCGGGAGCCACCCTTGCTCCTAGCAAAGCAATGCCTCTGGCCCAGCCCCAGCCCCCCCCCGGGAAATTGGAAAGTCTACACCGATGGGACCCGGTGATCCTCGACGAGTGCGGCCACAACTTCTGCCGAGCCTGCCTAACCCTCTGCTGGGAGGAGTCGGGGGCAGGGGGGGCTTCCTGCCCGATGTGTAAGCGACCCGCTCGGCAGAGGAACCTGAAGCCAAATCGGCAGCTGGCGAACGTGGTCGAAATTGCCAAGAAACTCAGTCATCAGGGGGGAAGGGAGGGGGAGGCCAAGGGGAGGGTCTGCGAGAAGCACCAGGAGCCCCTCAAGCTCTTCTGCAAGGACGACGAAGCCCCCCTCTGCGTGGTCTGCGACAGGTCCAAGGACCACCGAGATCACCGGGTCATTCCCGTGGAAGAGGCTGCCCAGGAGTACCAGGTAGGAAGTGAATAGGTGGATTTGCTCCTCTAAAAAAGATTCTGTCCAGCCTATCCTGTGGGCCACCTAAGAAGCACTGTTCCCTCTAACCTGAGTTAGTGTGAGCTAGCTCACAGTTTTTTAGCCTCTGGCTCACATATTTTTGTCTTAGCTCAGGATGGGATGGCTCCAGAGCAGGCTAATCTATGCAGCAGCCAAATCGCTTGCTCACAATTGTAATGCCAGTAGCTCACAAAGTAGAATTTTTGCTCACAAGACTCCACAGCTTAGAGGGAACATTGCTAAGAAGGCCACTGCGATGCTGGAGGTTTAGTAGGCAAGCAATGTTCCCTCTAAGCTGTGGAGTCTTGTGAGCAAAAATTCTACTTTCTGAGTTACTGGCATTAAAGTTGTGAGCAAGTGATTTGGCTACTGTATAAATTAGTCTGCTCTGGAGCCATCCCTCCTGAGCTAAGACAAAAATGTGTGAGCTGGAGGCTAAAAAACAGTGAGCTGGCTCACACTAACTCAGCTTAGAGGGAACACTGGTAGGCAGTATCCTATGCTATCCTGTCAGTACTGGTGAAATAACTTTTTGGAAGAGTAAACAAGTGATAGGAAAAAGAACCATATCTACTGGATCTTCTAGATCACTTGAAGTCTAAAATCACAGGTTGCATCCATATCCACAGACTGCACAGTAAAAAAAGGAAGACATATCTGTTGCTTCCTGGCACTGCCACAGTGCATAATCATCTATCCAAGTTACTGATCCTTATGGATCTGTTGTTTTCTGCCCATACTGCAGCACAAAAATATGGATTCAAGTCACATTCTCCTATGAAAATACGATTTTTTACATTGAAACAACACAAAATCACTCTGTTTCGTGCTCATATCTTTATTCACAGACAACACCATAAAAATCATGGATCCAAGCACTGTGCCACCCTGGCACAATAAAATTTATTAAAAATCTGGATCTTCATGAGTACTTATGATTTCTGCATAGAAGGCCCCACAATTCACCATCAAGTCACACATCATATCTCTGTCCACAGACTGTACCATAAAGAACCCTAACCCAGCATACTGTGGCATTACTGTACTACCTATTCTGGTAGAAGAATCCATGGATCAATGTGATTTCTACATGGAGTACTGCATAGTAAACTTTTACAAAATAATCACACCTGATTTTTGTGTGTGTTTTGTTTTTGCTCCAGGATAAATTTTGCTGCTGTCTTGGGCTGCTGAGGAAGGAGAGAAAGGAACTTTTAGCACACCAAGTAGATCTAGTTGGGAAAAGCCAAGATCTGCTGGTAAGTATATTTATAACTAGGAGATGAACAGAAACTCCAACCAATAACTGGAAACAGAGTATGAGATGTAGAAAAGTCAAGTCCCTATAACAGAAAATCAGGAACGGCATGACCTCCCAAAGGAAATGGTCCTGAAAGGTCACCTCAGGGGTGGCTCCTCAGAAGTGAAATGCCTTCTGTGCATTTCCTCAGACATGCTTTCTCTGCTGAATGTGGTGGAAGTGGGAGGGACTCTGCAGGGCACAGCCACACTCCACAGGGGGAAGCAGAGTGGAAAGGTGGATAGGTCAGATACCCCCCACCCCAATTCCCTTTTTCTTTGTCTGTTGCGCTCCTGTCTCTTTGTTTACCCAGAGTGCCATTCTCAGGGAATTCCTTCCAACTGCCCTTCTGTTCCTGTCTTTCCTTCCTCTCTTGCTCTGATTTCCATGGGGGTGATGTGTGGCTCTCAGAATCTCTCTCACTGGACTCTTAACTTTGCTCTGTTGCTTAAGACCAACACAGCTGCCCACCTTGATCTGTCTCCATGCACTAGTTAGCTAGAATGCTCTCTCTCCTTTCCTATCCCAGAACATATTTCTTTTTTGTTGTTGTTCAAGAATATCCAATCTTCTCTTAAAACAACAAGCCTGTGTGAACTTTGTTCCAAGAGCAGCTTTCGCTGGGCAAAACTAACTCTAACCCCAGCAGAGTGTTGGTGGGAGGTGTGTGGAAGGCCAGAAGTGCCTTTTCCTGTGGAATTCACACCCTCTTGGTTCCACTGAGGCTGATTCCGTTCCTGACCTTGGCCGGCTTTTCCCCCTTCCATCCTCCTGCCACAGGGCCAGACAGAAGTAGAGAGGCAGAAGATGGTGGCTGAGTTCAGAAAAATGCACACATTTCTGGAGGAACAGGAGGAACTTCTGCTGGCCCAGGTGGAAGAGGTGAAGGAAGAGATTGCAAGAGAAAAAGACAAGCAGCTGGCCTGGCTGTCCAAGGAAATCTCCTCTCTTGGAAGTCTCATCCGGGAGGTGGAGGAGAAGATTGAGCAGCCAGTGGCTGAATTCCTACAGGTAAGACTGTGGCAATAACATCCTAGGCTCCTCTCTCAGGGAGTCTGGACCTTAGTATGTTACCTTCACCTACTCAGTAAGTGAAGAGTCCTGGCTTATAGAGCTAAGAATTAGATCTGTTGTAGGGATGCCAGCCTCCAGGTGGGACCTGGGGATCCCCAGGAATCACAGCTCATATCCAGACTACAGAGATCAGTTCCTCTGGAGAAAATGGATGCTTTGGAGGGTGGACTCTATGACAAACCAAAGACAGGAAGGATTTTCCTAGTGTGGCCCCTCTGCAGGCTCTGAATTCCCTCTTCTTTCTTCCCTCCAGGGTGCCAGAAGCTCCTTGCAGAGGTGAGTAGATCTGGCTCATTTCACTTCACGATGCTGGGAAGGGTCTGGGTAGTTTGTAAGGAAGCATGATGGTTAGGCAAGCGCCAGGAAAGAGACCGTAGAGAGCTCCAGACCCTCCAGTGTTTTGAAGATGAGATAACGCAGGGTTGCCACTTTCTGGGGGCCTGCAAATTGGTCAGGGAAAGTCAGGGAAATTGGTCTGAAGTCAGGGAAATTGTGATTAAAATATATTCAAGCAGTGGATTTTTGACCTGCTGCAAGAGCATGATCTGTTCTTGTGGCAACTGGAATAGAGAAGTAGCAGGATACAAGTAGAACTTAATGATGCCCTTTCCCAACCCATTTAGATAGAACTTATATAATTTTTAGTGTACCTTTAAAACAATAACAGAAATGTTATGTCATTTGGTACCATTCAGAGATTACTTGAATTGAAATTTGTATCTTGGTGCAATTTTTGGTGCAGTTGCAAAACAGCTGTTGCTGCAGTTAATGTTGAAAGAAGCGGATATTAAATCTCTTTGACAAATATTTTTGCAGTTGAGACTTGTGTAGTTGTAGAGTGGAACCTTACCTTGCATTAATGTAATTCATTTTTTAACTTGTGGTTATATTTGAATGGTGGTCAGGGAAATTGACAAATGGTGGTCAGGGAAATGAAAAATAAAAATTTAGTGGCAACCCTGTAATACCTCCCAGTTCACACCCCAAGGATCACAGCCTGCTCCTTTCTCCCTCTGTCACTCAGACCAAGGGATCTTCTCTGTCTTATGTATGTTGTCTTACTCTGTAATCGTTCTCATTAAAAAACCACATAAAGAGTCGTCGCAACGATTGTTACGTATATATTCAAGCTGGAAGTTCATTCTGGGATAAATAAGATCACCAATGCTCAGCATTATTAAAGAGCTTCCCAAAGTTTAGAGGAGATAAATCAAAACAATTTTACTGTTCCAAACAGTCTTTTTTCATACGTGTTTCTCACTTCCAAAGTGAACTTTTCCATTTTCCAGACGAAAACTTCAGAAGCTTTTTGTTTCTGCTCCTCTAAGTATGTATTTTTGTAACTTCTTTGTTAAAAAAAAAAGTTCAGGTGTCTGTTTCTTGTTCTATATTCACAGGTTTCCTTTGGAATGTACATAATTATTTACCCAATTATTACAGAGCATTCAAGTCACATTGCAACTAAATCTTTGCATTCTATTGTTTTCCATTTTGTTCTCCTGACTTTTAAAAGACCTTTGTTGTGGCAATTTTTCTGATTTAGAGTTAAATTGAAGTACCAGCCTTTCCAGTGTGGGTTTGCAAAGAGCTACTGATCTATCTGATTTGGGGAAGTGGCCTGCAAAGAAGCTGGTTATTTTGAGCCTCTGCTTATATGTATGTATTAGACTCAACTTGCACCCCCCACCCCCGAGATTTAGTTCTGAATTTAAAGAATGACAAATCAAGATGCATCTCTCCAAAAGACAGTAGAGATAGGATAGGAATGAGAAAACTGTTTCAGTCCCTGCATAACAGGGTCTCTCTCAGCTCCTTCTCTTTGGGTATTGTTTGAATGTATTGCCAGCAACTGTAGAAAGCAGGGGCGATTCCTCACTAGAGCTGCCTTGCAGCGCAGCGCCGTTTGCCCCAACACAAACATGTCAATTTCACACCCGAGGCTGCGGGGCTGCATTTGAGCCGCGGCTTCACCCGATTTCCTCCGCAGTTTCATGATCCTCAAAAACCAGGATCACGAAACCGTGGAGGAAATCGGGCGAAGCCGCGAGTCAAAATGCAGCCCCGGAGCTTCGGGTGTGAAATTGACATGTTTGTGTCGGGGCAAACGGCGGCTTTGCTGCGAGGCAGCTCTAGTGAGAAATCGCCCCTGGACTCAGGGTGGTTATTTTCCCAGCTGGTTATAAGTGTGTGTGTGTAAAGTGCCTATATGTCACAGTTGACTTATGGCGACCCCAGCAAGGGGCTTTCAAGGTAAGTGAGAACCAGAGGTGGTTTTGCCCTTTGCCTTCCTCTGCAGACCCTTCCAAGTACCAACCTTGCTTAGCCTCCGAGATCATCTGACGAGAGTGGGCTCTACCATGCCACCTTCCCTCCCCTAGTTGAAATCATCTCTCCATAAAAAAAATATTCTGAACCCTCCGGTGGGCATTTGGAAGCAGACATAGTCCATCTGTTCCTCAGAAGACCCTCTCATTTCACACCTCACTTTGGGGTCTTGGTAGCCACAGTGATGGGGACTGCCCTTCCCCAAATACCTCCCCTCCTCTGCTTCGGAGCTTTCTGCCGTGTCCTTCCTATTCATTGGTTCCACTCAGGAATTCTGGATTGGATGCCTGGAATATTAACCGTGTTTCCCTCAACCAGGTATGAGGAAAAAGAAAAGTTCAGGAATCCAGCCACTTTTACGTCGAAGCTGAAGTGGAGGATCTGGGAGCTCTGCGACAGAAGCCACTCTCTGGAGGTTAACATGAAGCTATTCAAAGGTACTGAAGAATCTGACTAATAACGCTAATGGTTATTTGCAGATCACAGGCTCATGATACGACTTTCATTGCTACTAAAGCTCTTTTTTTGTTATGATTGGGCCTGCTTTACCCTGAAGTTTTACCCTGTTCATAATTTACAGTGAAACAGAGGTCCCTCTTCTGTGCCTGTGCAGTTGGCCTTCCTCAAACTGGGCAGCAGAGGCCATTCTAGGTACAAGCTCAGAACCTGATAACTTTGACCCTTCACTTGATCTATTTAAAAATTTCCTTGGAAGCATCCCTCCTTCCTGAAAGTGGACTTTGATCCTTCTGCACTCCAGCAACCACTAATGGCTTTTTTGCTAATGCAATAAATATTATTATTATTATTATTATTATTATTATTATTATTATTATTATTATTATTATTATTATTGAAGTCCAGGAAATGTTTATTATTATTATTATTATTATTATTATTATTATTATTATTATTATTATTATTATTATTATTATTATTATTATTATTATTATTATTATTATTATTATTATTATTATTATTATTATTATTATTATTATTATTATTGAAGTCCAGGAAATGTGTGTAAACTTCTCTGGGGCAGGGCATGCCTTAAGTACATGTGAATGTTACTCAGAAGAGTGTTTTTGAGTTTTATTTAATGACTACTGGCAGGGCTCATTTCCTGCAGGAGCACACAGGAGCGAAGTTCTGGCAGTAAGGAGCCCAGGGGGCGGGCACATGCAGCAAGCCCCTCCCCTGCTCCCAGCAGCCGCCCCTTGCCTTTCCTGGCCCACTGACCAACCCAGCGGAGCGCTGCCGCAAGCTGGCCCTCGAGCTCCTCCACCACTGACTTGGCCATGGCACCCAGCTCGCCCAGGCTCTGCCTGTTCTTATGCTGGCCCTGGCTTGGCGCCTCTGCAAGGTGGGCGCCGGCGACTCCCGTGAGGCCTGTGAGGAGCTCCACATCGGCCTCCTGCGCCTACTCAGCCTCCTCCTGTGCCTCTGCCCTGCCACCACCCGGGCCCCCTACCTGCTCGAGGCCATGCGCGTCCTCTGCACCGCCCTCCTCAACCCATGAGCAGCCACGCACTTTCCTGCGCTTGCCGGCCATCCAAAAGAGTCCAGTGGCAACTTTAAGACCAAGGTTTATTCAGGTACAAGCTCTCCCTCCTCTGTGAGGGCAGATCTGCATCCCCCCCCCATAGCTAGCAATCCAAAAGAGTCCAGTGGCAACTTTAAGACCAAGGTTTATTCAGGTACAAGCTCTACCTCCCACTCCCCCCCCCCATAGCTAGCAATCCAAAACAGTCCAGTGGAGCCTTAGCAGTGCCTTCTGACACACTTCCGGTGATGTCAGGGGGTGTGGCATATGCAAATAAGTTATGCTAATGAGCTCATGCACCTCTTTTCCTACGAAATGACCCCTGACTGCTGGTATACTTAATTGCAGAAAGAGCACTTCTGAACAGTTAAAACCCAGAGCCAGTCAGGGGCCACTGTCAAACTCGGCTCTCGTTTGCCATGATTATTTCTGTTCTTTGGTTCTGTGTGCGTATGTCTTCTGTCATTCTGGTTGAGGGGAGGGAGTCTGGAGTGTGTGAGTGTGGAGATGTGAAAGTTGCTTTGCAAAAGTGCGAGTTAAGCCTCTCTGGGAAGTATGCGTGCTTGACCTTGGACGGCAGAAACTGGTAGATACTAAGCTTGCAGGTGCTGGGGGGAGGGCTAAGGGTGCGTATTAGTTTGTGGCGGGCTGAATGGATGAGTGTGATTGAACTAATCATCAGGGGTGTTGTTTGAATTCTGTATAATACCAGAACTGGTGCTGAGCGAGTCAGTTCTGATATGGATGGTCTTCGCTTGACACATTCTCATCTCTCAATAAACAAATCACTGCCAAGAGAGTGTTGTTGGGAGCAAGTTTGTTCTAGAGTCTGACAGGTCACAATATTATGATGCACAATGTATACAGAAAGAGAAGGAAGCACTAGGCAAAAAAGTGACCTGCCCAGCCGTACGTCATGTTATTCTAATGCCAATATTATCATCAGGTATAGGATTACGGATATGCACAAAATAATTGTATGTCCTGAGAATGTACTGTGTTGTTCAGAAATGCATTTTATTTATTTAAAACATTCATTAGGTGCCTTTCTCCCTTGTGGAACTCCAGGTGGTTTACAATATAAATGAAACAAGTATAGAAAAAATACGAATAAAATATTATAAAAACACTTAAGAGGTCACAATGTAAGAACTCCAGTTAGGAGTGCCAATAAATAAAAAAGTAGATCAGTCAAATGCAGCCCTAAATAAAACTGTCTTCAGCTGCCTAGTGACAATTCTGTCAGGGGGCCAGGTGCACCTCCTTACGGAGGTGGTTCCATAATTGTGGAGCTGCCACCAAAAAGACCCTTTCTCATGTGACCACCAGGCCAGTGTCTTTGATTGCTGGGACATCTGTATCTTACTGAATCAATGCCAAAGTGCTCTTGACTAATGGCTCTGGATTGTACCCTAGGTTGAACAATGAGGGACTGCAGGCTGGGTTTTTGTTTTGTTTTTATATTGCTGTGTTACATCAATTGGCATAAGAATGACAATGTGGGTGTATGATCTCTCTTCCTTTTGCCTCTTCAGATACCCTGCCATCCCAGCTGCAGGTGCAGAAAGGTAAATTTTAGGGACTGATGGAGGCCCATATTCACTGGATGGAGGTTGGGCTTGTCAGGAGAGGTGCCTTGTATTTCCATGGAGTTCAACTATTCAGTTCTAGGGAACTGGAAACCATAAATGAGAATTTGTACCTGTCTTGCTGGATCCTCCCCCCCCCCCAAAGATCCATGTAGTCCAGCACTGTTTTTGCAACAAAGGACAGCCAGGGAAGCGGGAGAAGGGGGGAGCATGACTTCAGGGGAGAGCACCTGCTTTGCATGCAGAATGTCTCAGGTTCAGTTCCCGACATCTCCAGCTAAAAGGACGAGTTCATAAATGATACGAAAGCCCTCTGTATTTGACCCTGAAGAGCCAGTATTAGTCAGAGGGAGACAAAATTGACCTTGATAGACCAGTAGTTTGAGGCAGCTTCTTGTGTTTGTGATTTGGGAAGCACACAAGCAGGGCAAAAGGCAATCGTCATCCCTTCCTGGCGATTCTCCCCGGATTGTCCACCAATGGCAGCCTCAGGTGAAAAAGAATCTCCTGCAGATGACCAGAGGGTAGACGAACCAACCAAGCTTATAACTTTAAAATCAGGAGTATTCAAGGGTGGGGTCCCCCCCCCCCAGGATAGCTGGGTAGTATATTATGAAGTTACGTAGCGGAGGTTCCTTTCCCCCAGATAATTCTGCTTCTCTTCTGTCTCATTCTTCTCCAGCAGCTCATGTGATTCTGGATCCAAGCACGGCTAATCCCTGCCTCCTCCGGTCTGAGGATCAGAAAACTGTGAGATGGGGAAGCAAAGCTCAAGAGCTACCCAAGAATCCTGAGAGATTTGACAATTATCCTGTAGTGCTGGGATGTGAGGGATTCATGGAAGGCTTCCATTTCTGGGAATTGAGTGTGGGGAGTAAGGATGGGTGGTCTGTTGGGGTTGCCAAAAAGTCTGTGAACAGGAAGGGCCTGCTCACCTTTGGTCCTGAGGGAGGGATCTGGGCTTTGGGGTATTATGGAAATAAATACTATGGTCTCACTCGCCCTCCTTGCCCTCTCTCGTTCCTGAGTGGGGAGCTCAAGAGGATCTGAGTGTGTCTGAACTGTCCTGAGGGGCGAGTGGCCTTTTTTGATGGTGACAGAGACACCCTTCTCTATGAGTTCTCAGGTGCCTCCTTCCAAGGAGAGACTCTTTTACCCTTCTTTCAGGTGTTCAGAAATGGCCACATCAGTCTGCCACTTGATGCCAATAAAAGTTTTGACTGACTGGACTGCCTGACAAGTCAAATCTCCCTCACAGCTCACAGTCATGTTTGTTGTGAACCAACACAAGGACTATAAATAGGATTGGGATTTTTATGCCTCCCAGACATGCACCAACCCTTTTCTGTTTGCAACCACAGACATTTATTTATTATCAAATTTATACCCCGCCCTCCCCACAAGCGGGCTCGGGGCGGCTTCCATAAAAGCATAAATACATTAAAATTACACAAAATTTAACCATACAATAAAAACATTATAAATACAAAATGCTGGCGGCTGTTAAATTAACCTAGATGGTATATTGTCAGAGTAAATTTCCATTGCCCAGATGTTCCACGATGTTTCTGCTCATAATCAGTTAGATGTTAAAACCACAGACCAAGCTCTGCAGTAACGGTCTGCAGTAGCGGCAGCCCCTAATTAAATGCCTGGTGGAAGAGCTCCGTCTTACAGGCCCTGCGGAACTGCAAAAGGTCCCGCAGGGCCCTGATCTCCTCCGGGAGCTCGTTCCACCAGGTAGGGGCCGCCACTGAAAAGGCTCCAGCCCTGGTGATAGCTAGCTTGGCCTCCCTCGGGCCAGGGAAGGTCAGCCGATTTTGAGACCCAGACCGTAGTGCTCTCGGGGGTATATACGGGGAAAGGTGGTCCCTCAGGTATGTCGGACCCCAGCACAGGCTGGATGTGCTCCCGTCTAGGGAGACCCATCAACAGCCTGGCTGCGGCATTCTGCACCAGCTGCAGCTTCTGGATCTGCGACAAGGGCAGCCCCATGTAGAGAGCATTACGGTGGTCTAGTCTCGAGGTAACCATCACATAGATCACTGTTGCCAGGTCAGTACGGTCAAGGAAGGGAACCAGCTGCCTAATCAGCCTAAGATGGTAAAAGGCTGACTTGGCAGTGGCCGCTACCTGGGCCTCCATGGTAAGGGAGGGATCCAGGAGCACACCCAAACTTCGAACCTCCGGTGCTGGCACCAATGGAGCCCCCCCCAAAGGTCGGAAGTGGGATCCCCACCCCCGAACCGCCCCGACTCAGGCACAGGACCTCTGTCTTCGCTGGATTCAGCTTCAGCCAACTCAGTCTAAGTCAACCAGCCACAGCCTGTAAAGCCCCGTCCAGGTCTTCCGGTCTGGAGCCTGACTGGCCGCCCAACATCAGATAGAGCTGGGTGTCATCAGCATACTGATGGCACCCCAGCCCATACCTCCGGGCAATCTGGGCAAGGGGGCGCATATAGATGTTAAATAACATCGGGGACAGCACAGCCCCTTGGGGCACACCGCACTCAAGCAGGTGTCTCCTGGACTGCTGTTCCCCTAATGCCACCCTTTGTCCCCGACCTTGGAGAAAGGAAGCAAGCCATTGTAAGGCAAGTCCCTGAATCCCCACGTTGGCGAGGCAGTGGACTAGTAACTGGTGGTCGACCGTGTCAAGCGTGGCCGACAGATCTAACAACAACAGTACCACTGACCAGCCTCGATCCAGATGCCTCCAGAGGTTGTCAGTCAAAGCGACCAAAGCCGTCTCTGTCCCGTGTCCTGGGCGAAAGCCAGACTGGAAGGGGTCAAGCAATGAAGCATCATCCAGAAAGCCCTGCAGCTGTGTCGCCACCGCCCTCTCAATTAATTTGTCCAAATAGG